GAGGGTTTAGAGGTCAAAACATTTTTTAGTGTTTAGAAATTTAAGATATATGGTTTAAAAATCTGTAATTAGTGGCATTTTTGCAAATGAACACCCTAAATGCCATTTTTGCAAATTTGCACATAAAAATGGAATTTTTGTAATTTTCCCAAAAATCTATATATTAAAATTATATATAGTTGCATCATATATTACAATATATAAACGAAACGATAAGTATGGCTCAAGCCTCAAATTCTGGTGATGGAGAACTAACATATTTTATATACAAAGATGACACAATATGTAGACCAAAAAAGCTAATTAAAATACTATCATATTATATGTGATTGTAAATGATCATTGAGTGAATTATATAAAACAAGTCGGCCCAAGAAAAAGGAAAAAAAACTCTTCTCTCTCTCATCACAATGTTCCTTTTATAAAATCCACCCAAAGACACCAGACACTTCCCCATCATTTCATTTCTTTTTCTTTTTCCTCCATCACCATTTCCTAGTTCGCTCGTGCACATCTCCGACGATCCCAATTCTAAAACCATCACTTCTTTCAATCTTTTCAACATCTCTTCCAAAAAAAAAAAAAACAATCTAAAAGGGAACATAAACAAGATCGAACCTTATTTCCTTTTGTACCAAAAAACATAAAAAATCATCCTTTTTTGTTTGTTTCACCGATGGCATCTTCCGGTAACGGTACAACTGCAGGAACAGGTTCACCATGTGGTGCATGCAAGTTCTTGAGGAGGAAGTGTGCATCAGATTGTATATTCGCACCGTACTTCTCATCGGAGCAAGGAGCAGCAAGATTCGCAGCTATTCACAAGGTGTTTGGAGCAAGCAACGTCTCTAAGCTCTTGCTTAATGTTCCAATCCATGATCGATGCGAAGCGGTTGTCACGATCGCCTACGAAGCTCAGGCTCGTCTTCATGACCCTGTTTATGGTTGTGTCTCTCATATCTTTGCCCTCCAACAACAGGTAAATTAACCGAGCAATCGGTATATTACTTCATCGATAGTTAGTCACTGTGAAATTTATATGGTGGTTGAGTGATATGAGATTCAGTGCATGATACTAAATTTTATTAGATTTCCCAAGAAAATCTTGAGGAATTAATATCAACTAATTTTCCCATCAAAAAAGTTTGTTTTCACATTAGGGTTTTTTTTAATGCTAAGTTTCATAACCATTTGAAGTTTTAATTATATTTTTACCAAACGTTACAAGAAAAGTTTTTCATTAAATTCTTTTCATGACATTTCTCTTTCTTGCGATTGTCATTTTCGACTCGCCATAATCTATTCCGTTTCATAAAAATGTCATTTTTGACTCGCCAAAATCTAGAATAAACGACATTATTTTTACCGTTTCATAAAAATATTCACCAAAATCTAGAGTAAACGACACTTCCGTTTCATAAAGATAGATGGTTCGAAAACTTTGTGCGTTACAATAAAACGCCTAAACAAGTTGGCATATCTCTTATGATTCATTTACTATCCTTGGAAACTAGACCACTACTAATATGTAAATTACATATGAATATGTTTAGCAATACCGTGTAAATTTGCAATATCTTATTGGCACAAAACATCAGTTTTAATGAAAATAATCGACTATAAAACATATTTTGTCTTAAAAACGGTAGGAGCTTTTACTAATTCTTCTATGAGTTTTCAACTTTTGAATAGAATTCAATCTTGTTGAACTTATCGTTTGATGTGTTAATACATAGGTGGCTTACTTGCAATCACAAGTCATGCAAATGAAGGTACAGATCGCCGGCCACCAGACGTCATCCGCCGGAGATCTAAGTAACAGCTCGGAGAGTACTCGCCAATACATGACGTGGCAACAAACCAGTGGCTCTCCTATCGGTAGTGCATACTCAACAGCGTATAATCAGCAACATTCCTACTACGGCCACGTAAACCCTAACAATCCAGTCTCGCCACAGAGCTCGATAGAAGAATCTTTCAGCAACACGAGCAGTGATGTTACCACAACAGCTAACGTGCGAGAGACTCATCAAACCGGAGGAGACGTATACGGTCAAGGCGGACTAGGGTTTCACGAAGGTTATTCTAACAAGAAGAGATCAGTGAGTTATTGTAATGGCGATGTAGGTGAGCTCCAGGCTTTGGCTCTTAGAATGATGAAGAACTAAGACAAGTTGGTAACTTATGTAGACAGACAGGGAAGAAATAAGATGTTTTTTTTTCTTTGACAAGAAAAGACAACAAAACATTCGATGTTCACATGCTATAACATCAATAAACATGTCTACATCCATGTTTGTTTTGTAGTCCCTAGTGATCAATGACTATCATAGTTATTTCGTAATTGCTGGTTCAACGTTTTTTTTCGTGACCAACTCTTGTTATTTCATACTCACTGATTTAACGATACATTTTAATATATATCGCTAATCCAAAATTTAATACGTTAAAATTATTTGTGCTTAATTTTTCTGGTCTCTAATCGACTATAATCATCTCACTGAACCAACAACTATAAAAAAATGACTTTGTTTTTTTTTTTTGAAAACAGAAAAAAAAATGTCTTTGTTGCTGATCGACAAAAGAAAAATGAACATGATGACGATACGTTGGTAGAGATCATAGGTTCTTGTAGTACCCTCAATTTTTAAAATTATTTTGGTATAAGAGCTAGAATCTTAAAAGAATGGTTCTACACGATAATTTTTTTTTAATAGTGATCTATAGAAAATTTGATTTAATTTTATGAATTTTTTTTTTTTGCCAAGAAAATAATTTTATGATTCTTATGGGAAAACATACCATTATTGAACGAATAATTAAAAACAGAAACAGTGGAGTCATTACAAATCCAAACGAAAAAAAAACAATAGACTGAATTGGTTATATTATAGCTCAATGGTTTCGTTTGTTGATCAATATATAGATCGTTTCTATTTGACTAATATGAGATTCACGCATTATATACTTGCATGTCTTAGATTATCACATGCTTTGGATTACCCCCCAAAAAAAGTTTTTGGAGTTGAGGACTGTCCACTCGTCACTAACATATTATTTGTCTCATGAAAGAAAAAACTATGCAAAGAAGGTAATGTCACACCACACGAGTGCAGAGAAAATAATATGATGATGATGGATAATTTTTATAGGTTAGTAATAGAAATGCTTCTATGTAGGGGTAGACTCAATCACATTGTATGAGTTTATAGGATTCACTAGATTTCCATAAGTTACAAATTCTTATAATTGTAGACGTGTGTGGCGCATCCAAGGGGTTGACTTTGATTCACACGACACACTTATTGGAATTTAAAATTTTAATTGGTATATGTTCATTACATAAATAGATTTTTTTTTTCTTTTTAGAACCACAGAAATAGATTGTTTGACTCGTGATAAATTGTCTAGCTAGTTTTTTTTTTGGGGTCAAAAAGTCTAGCTAGTTTATGTAGAAGATAAAAACAATCTTTAAGTAGCGCATAAATGATTTGGATTTACTAAGCCTAAATGACGTTACTGCAAAATCTTTGAACAAAAAAAGTTGGATTTATGGTCCGAACTATAAACATAAGATGAGTATAAGTCAATTTTTCTCACAATAATAAACTAATTTTATAACGGATGATCATTAAATAAAGAAAAAATGAAAGTGTTGATAAAACAAATAAATCTGTAATTTCTGTTAAT